CTTTTAAATTTACTAATGTTTTCCATTTGTACTTCTTGCCACTGTTGTTGACTTAAATGCTGTGACATGTAGATCAACGGATGCAGCCACACTTACTGGAATATGGCTTTTGTTGTTTCCATTTTTTTCTATCCCACTTCTGACATCAATTTGTTATGTCTCTGTATGTTTGTTTGTTAATTCTTCGAGGATACAAGTCCTTTCTTTATAAAACTTGTTTATTCTTCCTCAATAAAACATTGTAATGTATTTAATTTTCACAGTTACACACACTATAGTTCACAACAATTCACTCACTTTCTATCGAGCTTAGACTTAATTGTCCGTCCCCGCAAACTATAGTTCCGATCTCTGTGTCTGCTATCCTCAGTTGCCGCCGACTGTAATCGCTGTCTTTCTTTCTCTCTGCCTGCTTCGTCTCTGCCTCCCTATCTGCCTCGTCTCTGTCTAGCACACTTATATACGATAATACTGCCTGTTCTAGAAACTTCTAAGACTCTCAACACGTGCTGCCAGTTTCAGTTGACTTCCGCTGTCGTAACAGTGTCAATGGCGGTGTCCATTGTAGTGCTGTAAACTATATTTCTAATATTATAATTAAGATGTCTTATAAAAGAAGCAGATGACGATGTAATCATCTAGAACTTTCATGGAATATGTAGGAATAAGAGTACAGTATAAATACGAGAATCTATGAAAGAGTAATCAATGAGTAGTCAGTGAGTTTATGAGTTCAGTGTCAGAAAAATTATTTATTGTTAGAAGTGAGAGTTATTGTATATATTGTGTTATTCAGTTAGTTAGCAGTGTTTATTGATCAATTAGTTGTGCGAGGAAATTTTATAAGTTATGCGTGCTTCTTCCAGTTTATATTGAAATGTTGTATTTAAAGATAGGCCTACAAGCGAAATTGGCTGTTACAAACGATTGTTGAAAAAAAAAAAAATTTACTATTGCTATGTAGAGTGGACTTGGCATAATTTTACCATGTAATCCAAAATAATCTGCCAAACGATAGAACATGTTACAACAATAATTTTAAGGATTGCCTTTTCTCTAGAAATGCTGAACTGATCATGAGGAAACAGGCCAACATTCTTGAAATGATTTGTTGTAACAGTTACTGTTTATCAGAAACACCAGTGACTCCTGCCTTTTAGAACTAACAGGAACGAATTTTTGACCACTTTCTGATGTTGTCAGATGCAGTAAATTTTCTTAATGCATACAGAAATACAATTTTACTGATTTTAGAGTAAAACCAGAATTGTTTCCAAATCTGAAAATTTCTGAGTAACATTTGGAGTGTATTATTCTCAGATTAACAGATTTTTGTGAAAAGTATCAGGTAAGTCTGCTTCATAATGGTTTTGTTTGTTTGTTGCTAATCGCAGATCTACACGATGGGTTATTTCAGGGGTGTAGTGCTGCCAGAGTGCACCCAAACACTGCTCTGGCACACATTATATCACCCTCTCTTAGAAGCTGGTATCAGGCACTGAGCAACCACTCCAGCTCTAGAGCTGTTGTCAGAGCATCAAAATGTGAATTTTTTGTCATACGTCACGTGTTTAACACACAAATATGGTATTAAAACACTTAATGAAATACACTTTGCAATTATACTGTGCTTAAAAAGTATACGTTTTTAATAGGCTTATTATTTACATAATATACAACAAAGGTTGCTGTTCTTAGTTATTCCTGTTGGCGAGATGGACTGTGTACAAGTCATCATAAAAGTTTTTGATATTGTTTGCAGACTATATTTACTAAAGCTGAAGTTGAAGGAAATAAAAGTATTGTACATATGGAACCCTTGTTATTGTTGTGTTTTCGCTGCTCCTTAATTTAATGGAAGTTGCCTGTTTCTTTTTGGTAATATACAAATTATTACTAATCCAGGTAGTCTCAAATAATTAGTGCTTCATATGTTTTCTTTATTTAAAATGACCTCACAAAAATGGAAATTAAATTATGAATATGAAAATTTACCCTCATGGTGATGTCGGACGTCTGACAAATTGGTCAGGATTCCGACACTATAAAATTGAAGACTACCACATTGGGCTATTTCGGCTGTGCCCACTACGGGTATTGAAACACAATTTTCAACGTCATAAGTCCAGAGACTTTCCACAGAGCCACTTGGTGGCCTTTATCATGGGATGTTCGATTTGGATAATTACATAGTAAATCTAAGTTGATTACACTGACTGAGTTTTAAGCTAAGAAAATATATAGACTGCAAAGTTAAGGACTACCCTTATTTATGCTAAAAGTCAAATAACAAAAAGTATGCATACTTGTGTAGGACAAGTACTATTGCCTTCTACATGATCAGTGAATCAGTAAGTAGCTTTCATCTGTTGTTTTCCTATCAACCAACCAATGTTAGAAATAAAATAGAAGTGTGTGAACCCAATGCTTCATGTTGTAATGGGTGAATTAAAGTCACCACACTTTTTCACCTTCCGGTTTCATCTTGCAATGCACATACTATAGTACCCACTATTGTCGCCTTCTGGTTTCATGTTCTAATGTGCACACTAAAGTCACCTCACTTTTCACTTTCCAATTTCATGTTGTAATGTGCATCTAAAGTCATCAGTGTTTTTTACCTTCTGGTTTCATATTGTAATGTACACACTAAATTTGCCACACCTTTTCACCTTCTGATTTCATGTTGTAGTATGCCCACAAAATTCACCACA